GGAGTTCATGACCAGTCTGGCCAACATGGTGAAATCCCGTCTCTACTCAAAATACAAAATTAGCTGGGCGTGGTGGCAGGCACCTGTAATCCCAGCTACTCGGGAGGCTGAAGCAGGAAAATCGCTTGAAGCCAGGAGACACAGGTTGCAGTGAGCTGAGATCGCGCTGCTGCACTCCAGCCTGGGCAACAGAGAGAGACTCCAGCCCAAAAAAACAAACACAAAAACGAAAACAAAAAAACCCAAAAACTAAAAAACAAAAATATATGTATCACATAACATGTGCTTTCCATGTGTTAACTCCTTTAAGCCTCACTCTAACTCTGGGGGGAGGCAGAAATTATCATCTCCATTTCACTGATGGGAAACTAAGGCATCCAGAGCTTACGTGGACAGCAAGTAGCAGATTGGATTTAAAAAGACAGTCACATCCCAAACGTAATCAACAGTCCCACGGGGAGACAAGAGGGTGGCTGGGAAGAGGAGCTGTGACGATAGCAGAAGGGAGCTGGAGTGAAGTTGGGGGGCTGGGCAGCCTTCCAGAAGCTGGAAAAGGCAAGCAGGGGCAGGTTCCTCCTGAGACTCCAAAATGAATGCGGCCCAGCCTTGCTTTTAGACTCTGGACCCCTGCAACTGTAATAAGTTCATGTTGTTTTGTGCCACTAAATTTGTGGCAATTTGTTACAGAAGCAATGGGATGCTTACACACTATTGTATTTTCCTTGTTGTCTCTGATCAATAAAATATACTTCAAGGCTATGTAAAAACAAACAAACGAGCAAAAACAGCCACAATATTTCCTGTCTTACACCTTTTTTTTTTTTTTTAATTTGAGATAGGATCTTGCAAGGTTGCCCAGCTGATCTCAGACTGCTGGGCTCAAGCGATCCTCCTGGCTCAGCCTCCTGAATAGCTGGGATTACAGGTATGAGCCATCATGTCCAGCTCAACTGTGACTTTGCCCATGGAGATGTGGGATGTGTTCCCTCCTCCTGAAGCCAGGAAGGCTGTGACTTCAGCAGCAGGGACACCATGTGCTGAGGCCAGGTCACACAAGGTGAGCAGGCTTCCGCCTGGCTCTCCTGGGAGGCTCACTCTGGGAGCCCAGCTACCACAAACAATAGGAGGGTGCCATGTGATGTATTTTAGTCAACAGCGCAGCTGGGTTCCAGCCGGCAGCCAGCACCTGCGTGTGAGCCAATAAGCCTGGGGATGCTTGCGGCCCCAAGCTGTCGAGTCTTCCCAGCTGAGGCCCCAGACACGGTCACCCAGCAACCGGCTGTTCCTACTGTGCTCTACCTGCATTCCTGACCCAGTGTCCGTGAGCATGAAAAGGCGGTTTTGTATCACTACATTTGGGGAGCATTTGTTCCACAGCAATAGATAATGACCCACTCAGGCAGCCCGGCTCCAGGGCCACATTCAACCACTGCCTGACACTGCATCCTGTACTGTAAGTATAAGCCCAGCTTATATTCCAGTGAGATCAACTCCTGTTCCTCTGAACCCACATCTGCCATCATCTCCCCGGTGGAAGCTCAGATCCACCAAGCGCTGGGCACCGGGGAGACAACAGTGGATGAAACACACAGGCCCTTCTCTCGCGGAGCTTGTAGTCAGAGCTACTGAGTGTGCCAATGGGAAGAGAGAAGGGCATGGACTTAGTTATGGGAAGATGGGGAAAGGTCCTGGGGAAGGCAATGTCCATGCATGGCCTAGAGCATGGGGAGGAGGTGGCCAGGGGACAAAGAGAGGATGGAGGGGGTTCCGCATGGGAAGTGGGGAATAGATTGTGCAAAGACCTGGACAGGGGCCAGGCGCGGTGGCTCATGCCTATAATCCAGCACATTGGGAGGCCGAGAGGCAGGCGGATCACCTGAGGTCAGGAGTTTAGGACCAGCATGACCAAATGGCGAAACCTCGTCTCTACTAAAAATACAAAAATTAGCCAGGTGTGGTGATGGGCGCCTGCAATCCCAGCTACTCTGGAGGCTGAGGCAGGAGAATCGCTTGAACCCAGGAGGCAGAGGTTGCAGTGAACCAAGGTCGCACCACTGCACTCTAGCCTGGGCACTCCAGCCTGGGCGATACAGCGAGACTCTGTCTCAAAAAACAAAAACAAAAACAAAAACAAAAGACCTAAAGAGGGTCCGTGAGAACTGGATGCTGTTGAGCATGGCCAGAGCACAGAGTCTGAGTGGGAGGATATGGAGATGTAGCAGGGGCTGGGGTGCAGGTGGGGAAAAAAGAGCCAGGTGGCGAAAGTCTTCATAAAGGCCTGGACACTTCTGTCCACACTATTTCCTCTCTCCTGGGAATGGATCCCAATTTCCCCTTGAGAATATCACCCCAGGTCCCACTACTACTACCCCAAGTGCAGTTGGTTTGGAAAGGGCCAGCCTCTTTTTTTTTTTTTTTTTTTGACCTGGAGCTTTGCTCTGTCACCCAGGCTGGAGTGCAGTGGTGAGATCTTAGTTCATTGCAACCTCTGCCTCCTGGGTTTAAGCGATTCTCCTGCCTCAGACTCCCAAGTAGCTGGAATTACAGGCACATGCCACCATGCCTGGCTAATTTCTATATTTTTAGTAGAGACGGTGTTTCACCATGTTGGCCAGGCTGGTCTCAAACTCCCAACCTTAGGTGATTCACCTGCCTCAGCCTCCCAAAGTGCTGGGATTACAGGTGTGAGCTGCCACGCCTGGCCTAAAGGGCCAACCTCATCGCCTGACTCCAGGGTAGGCTTGAGACCAGGTTGAGCCAATCAGAGACCTGTCCCTTGCCAGCCCTCAGGGATAGGTTCACAG